GCATGCCGGGGCACTTGAGGCTGTTGACGATCTTGGCCACCCGCACGAAGGTGTAGGCGGCGCTGTTCATGCACTGCGCCCGCCCGAACACCTGGTGGGCCGGGGTGCGCTGGCTGCGGTGGGTCGCGTGGTCCTGGATGTCGGCCAGCATGTGGGTCGAGTCCTGCAGCTCGTTGATGATCTGCTTGATGTAGGTCAGCGGGCGGTTGGGGACCTGCAGCCAGACGTTGAGGGCGCCCAGCAGCTCGCTCTGCAGGTCGGTGATGGCGATGGATCGCATGTAGCCGGCGGGAGCGAGGAGGGGCAGCGTATTGAGCTGCACGACAGGCGCAGCCGGCTCCTCCACCAGAGGAGTCCAGACCGCCACGTCCTGGGGGTCCTCCTCCTCTTCGGGCTGAGCCGCCTCCTCCACATGCTCTGCCTCCTGCTCCCGCTCTTCGGCCTCGGCCTCCTCTTCCTCCTCCTCCTCTTCGTCATCTTCATCCTCCTCCTCGTCCTCATCATCTTCAGCAGTGGCGTCTCCCTCGGAGGAGTCCTCCTCGGCGACGGAAGCGTGCTCACTCTCCTCCTCTTCGCTCTCCTCGATCGTGTCAGGAACAGCGTAGCGAGGTGTGTTCTTGGACCAGTAGTGGATGCCGGCCAGGGACGAGCCCAGGACCTCCATCCACTTGCGGAGCTTGGGGGCGAGATCCGGGTTGGCTTGGTAGAGCGCCTCGCGACGCTTGACGAACTCCTGCTCGTTCTGGATGATGAGCTCCTTGGTCTTGGCGACCGCATCCTCCTCCGACATGTTCTGGTGTTGCATGAGGAACAGGATGACGTTGGCCACGGGACGCCTCTTGGTCTCGCGCTTCTCCTTGGGCCAGCTGTAGTAGTCGTTGGTGAAGAACATGGTGCGCTCGGCGGCGTCGAGCGCATCTCTTACGATGGCCTGGTCTTCCTTGCCCAGGCGGGTGCCATGGGCGAAGCCCATCAGGGTCCAGTACACACTATCACACTGATTAGGATTTATTTCATGTCAACGGAGAAGTCAGCGGCCACTTACTCGATACCGGCGTTGAGGCGTCTGCGAGCCACATAGTCGTCGAGGTTGGCGCAGTTGTCGGCGGTGGGGACCTCAGGCGTGACCAGCCAGTTGCTCCGGTAGCTGTCAATGATATCGTTGCCATCAATCTCCTTCTCCGTGATCTCAGCCACCGCCTTCTCCAGCAGCTTCTTCCGGGCTTCGGCGCGGGGCGACTCCACGTGCTCGTCGGGCTTGTCGGTCGTACGTCCGTTGGATTTGCCCTGGGCTGCGAGGTGCAGGTTAGCTACGGTCGGTCATGCATGCGCGTGCAGGACGGGGGACGTACCATCATGCAGGCTGCCGAGCTCGGTCAGGTAGGCGACGAGCTCGAGACGCTCGGGCAAGCATTCGGGGTAGAGGAAGCTGGCGTAGTTGCCGACGGGGCAGGACAGATAGCTGGTGGGCTCCTTGCCCTCTTCGGCGGCGAGGGTGGCCGTCAGGTCCTGGACGAAGCGATCGCTGCCGCGTTGGGCGACATGGTCGTACTTGTGGATGCGGGGAACGAGGGTGGTGAAGCAGCCCTGCAGCTGCTCCTCACTGACGGAGAGGGGCTGGGAGTGGGCCCAGATCTCGATGGGATCGTGGACGGTCTGGGTCGGGGAGCTCGGCTCGGACTGTGCAGCGGAGAGGATCTGCACGGCGCTGCTCTTGCTTCTTCTCCGCTTGTGGGATAGGATGTGCGAGTATGACTTGAACATTGGTGTGATGTGGGATGCGAGGGCACAAGCCGAACCAGCAACAAAGGATTAGAAAGGATGAGAGTGAAAAACGACCTGTATACCGACCAGGTCTTTGGTTGCAGTAAATAGCGAATCCACGAAGGAAAGGCAAGATGATGAGGGAAAAAAGAAAGAAGCTCCGATGGAGCACAGGCAGTAATATATAGGCTCGGAGCTCCTCAGTGCTTGGACCAAGTCCCCTCTTTCCAAGGAAGCAAAAAAGAGCTAACAGAGAGAGGCACTGGGCAAAGTCAGCCCATGGCAGAAAAAAAAATTTTTTCTGTTGTTCAATGGAATGCTCATAGCGATAAGGCCAGCATGGACCTCAAGCTGGTCCGACAAGAGGCGAAAGAGAGCATTTGGTGCATTTGGTGCATTGGAGCTTGAGAGGAGGCGAGAAGCTAATGGGGAGGGAATGCACTGATTGGTGGTGGAGGTGCGGCTACGGGCGTTGGATTGGTGTTCTTTGGGCTTAGTTGTTTCTTAGTTTCCCGCCGGCTGCTCTTCACCGCTAAGTCTGCTCTGCACTTTCTATCAGTTTGGTTACTATCAATTTCTCTTGCGCCCCGGCCGAGGTTGCTAACCTGCCCACTTCATTGGGCCACCTCAACGCCCAGCCCAGCGATGACGATATCGATGGAGATCGCTTTCATCTGTCTCTGGCAATGGTGTCGGGGGGATTCCCTGGGTCGGGGTTGGTCGGTGATTACCGATCTGAATTCGGAGGGGAGGAAGTGGGGTGGTGGTGGTGGTGCAGTGTAGTGCACATGTACTAGGTAGAGTGGACGCGTCGGAGAGTTGTGTATTTTGTGTAGTGTATGTAGTGTAGTGTAGTGTAAAGCATGAAGCCGATATGGTTTTGGTTGGTGACGTGGATACCTGCGATCAACATGACAGCCACTGCAGCAGAAGCCGAGGAGGGGAAAGGGTCCTGCGGGTGTGGAAGTGGTCTGTACTGGAGATCATCATCCAAGTGAGTTTCCCTCATCCAGAAAAAAAAACATTGTTAAGCATGACAAGAAGAAATGATGCGAGGGAGTGGGCACTGAAGTGGGAGGCAGTGGAGGCAGTGGAAGCACAAGCGAACCAAGTGAGGTTGAAGTGGAGCGAAGGAAGAGCCAGAGGAAAAAAAGAAAAACATTGGCTGGTCACGTGGCCCCACCCGCCCGAATAGGCAGTCTGTCAACAATCCCGTCCTGCCACCAACCCTTGCTTTAACTCACTTGGTACTCCGTATCGTGTCCAAGGCGACGGGCAGTAGTGGTGGTGCTTGCATCTCAGGCTCTCAGCCCTCGTTCACGCCCATGCGCCTGGAGGAGAGAAAATTTTCATGGTGGGGCATTCCGGCAGATCATCGATACCCCTCCTCTCCGGAGGAAGAAAAAAATCAAAGAGTGAGGCTGGTAGATGTGAACCATGACGAGGATGGTAGCCCCTCCTCCACCAGTTTGCATATTCTGCGGGATGGAGCTTACGTTGAGCCTACTGCGCTATACTCACTACTGCGGAAGGAGACTACAAGTAACCTGATTACCTAGGGACAGTGTATCATCTGGTGTGATCAGTGACCACCGGAGAACGACGGCGCGTCGACCGGAAATAGAACGGCCCCGTTCTGCGATAAGCTGATCGCCGCACGATCGCCGGGCTGCATCATTGACCACAGCTCGGTTGACCCCTCCGGCCGTTTCGAATCTTTCTGATGCCACTATCCCTCTTTCGACCGCCCGCTTATCGCTGGCAACACAGACTTTCCCTATACTTTTGGGCAAGAGAATGTGTTTGTCTACAAACCACCCCTTCATAAGTAAATTTGCCAGAAAAACTCAAAGCGTGAACACGTCGTCTCGAGGCGTCGATCGAGGTTACGCGATCGATAGCAGGGTTGCTTTCTTGTGCGAAGACTGCAGGAAGAGTACCTAGTAGAGTTCGAGCTTGTGTGCTCAGCGCTCATGGCGATTGGCCGAGGGGGGAGTCAGGTGCAGGCATCGGGATGCGAAGAGTACGCTTGCAACCCACCTGGCAGGGAAGGAAGAAAATCTAAAACCTTGACTTCTTAGCGTTCGCCCTGATGAGGCTTGGCTGGAGGAGAAATACTTGACTTGATGGATGTTGATAGATGGTTGATTGTGGTGGAGAGTCAGTCAGTCAGTCAGTCAGTCAGTCAGTCAGTTAGGGCTGGCTGTGATGGGGCTGACAAAGCGTGGCCCCAGGCAACAATCAGAGAAGCGGTCAAGGAATGCTTCGTATGCTGCATCCACTATCTTCTTCTCGGAGAAATCCACACTGGCCTTGGTGTCAGAGAAAGTGACCTTGATGTCACAGAAAGCGGACCTTGGAGGTGGACGGACTGGTCGCTTGGCCAATTCGGTTGATGTCGGATTCAATGCCAGATGCTTCTCTCGAGTTCGTCTCTGTTCTCTGAGTCACTCTCACCTCAATCAACCAACAATGACTAGACAACACCGCTTTACACTATGGCGGCGCTTTCATAGGTGTCAGGACTGGAGACAATTAGGGCGATGGGGGCTCTTGCTCCCGTGCGTCCAAGAAACATGAATCAAGACTAGAACACGAATGATTCGACGATACTGCTTCATAACTATGGCTATGATTTGACGACTTTCAACACTAGGGAGTATAAGGTCTGTGAGCTCTTCTTCTCCCATGCATCCAAGAAACATAACTTAACATTGAGGCCAGAACAAGAATGACCAGCCGATCCTGCTTACAGCTATGACTATGCTTTCACGACTGTCGATACTGGAGAGTGTGGAAACCATGAACTCTCCTTTCATGCCTCCAAGAACCGCAAGCTTGGCTCACAAAGAAAGCACGCCATCGACATGGACGCATTCATAGTGAAAACTTCCATAACAGCGTCTTTGTTCGACCCAGCCATCGAAAGATTACTAGCACTCCCTGATAATGCCTTTGTCCTTTGCCTTGAGGGGATTCACCACCACGAGGTTCTTTATGGAAACGGGGTCCAGCATCAAATCCCTTTCACCGCACACTTTGAAGGAGATTGCAGCTACATCTCCCATGGAGCCGCTTCCATACCACAGCATCCCTGATATAAAACACCATGCAGTCTCTTGCTTGCTCACACTATCCCTCCCATCCCTCCCATCACCACAACCCCCGATTCCCACAGATCAGTCCCAACATTGACTCCTATTCCACGTGAAAACCCCACAGTACCAACCAGCAAAATGCCCGGCTTGAAGAATGCCTGGGAAGTCATGCCCGGCCTGACCGAGGAGCAGAGGACCTTGCTCCTCGCGATGCTCGACTCGATGGCCGTGGACACGCCGCCGCGTTCGGAAAAAGATTTCTCGGAAGACAAGCCCGACCCGACGGCGGACGAGATGGACTGGTTAAGCAGCATGTTCGAGTCGTTGGAAGCGGACACACCGCTGGACCCGATCGCGCAAAACCTAACCCCAGCGGGGCGCCGCATCCTGCTCGACCCGGCCAACATCAACCCGACCCCGCCGGTCAACGACATGGCGACCGCGCTGCACACGCTGCGGACGGACATGACAACAACCAGCGTCGCAGGGCTGCAGGCGCTGGCGGCGCGGTACGGCAGGCACACGCACTTCGCGCGGCGGCTGCGGCTGGAGGGCACGCGCACAGGGCCCAACACCCCCTTCCAGCGCAGACCGGACCACACCATCCAGGTGCCCATGGACATCCCCGAGGTGCGGTGCCTGCACGATCTGCTCCGGGACCACTTCCCACTGATCTCGGAGTTCGAGCTGGCGCTGGGCCCCGCGGGCGCCGCCTTCACGGACGTCATCAACCCCGGGGACGTGCCCAAGTGCCTGATCCGGATGCTCAATAGCCTGCGGCGGCGGATCACGCACCTGTCCCTCGTCTCGGAGGCGGACGACTGGAACATCGAAACGCCGATGGAGTTCTTCGTGCCGCGCCTGCAGGACTGCGTGCTGGAGGACCTCGAGGAGCTGCGGGTGCAGTGGCCGTACTGCGTGGACGACAGGATGGAGTGTCCGCCACGCGCGCAGCCGCACCCGTGGCTCAAGTTCTACAAGCGCATCTTCAAGAGCCCGCTCCGCACGCTCGTCCTCGAGGGCAGGGGGATGCACTGCTTATTCCCCCCCGCGGGGCCGACGTTCAACGCCATCCCCGTGGGCGGCTGCAACCTACGCCACCTGACGCTGACCAACCTCGTGCTGACGGCCTACGACATGTGCATCCTGATCCCAAAGCTCCCGAAGCTCGAGTCCATCACGCTCGACAAGATCCAGTTCGAGGGAGAATGGCCGCAGGTGCTGAAGATGCTCGCGGACCTATGTCTGTGTCTGGAAAGATTCAAATTCCTGGAGGTGGAGTGGGTGCTCGACCGCCACCACCGCCAAAAGGCCGTCAGCATCACTTTCAGTGGTTCTTCAGAGGAGGTTGATGTTCATCAGTGCCTGCGCCGGCTGGCTTCCTTCGATGAGAGGCTGCGTTGCCGCGCCGATTCTACCTTGTGAGCACTGTAGCCCTGACTGATTTCTCCCCGCTAACTGGCCATCAGACTTGTAATCGGTAGCTGGTGGGCTATTATCATAGAAAAAAAAATAAAAATAAAATAAAATAAACCCAACAACGGCCACACCTACTAAAATCTTTTTTGACTTCATCATCTAATTTGACAACTCAGAACATACGCTAGTATCCCACACCACTAATTTTGACCTTGAACACATTCTGCCTGCCTTACCGCACAATTCTAGACTTATCCCCTAACAGTAACCGGACACTAATGTATGCTCACATACCACCACCAGATAGCCCTAAGAAGATGACCTTCCCCAACTCCAACTCCAACCCCAACAATTGGAGCTGGACGCACCGCCACTGCTTGGCACCGTGATCGGAACGCAAGACGGGCTCCACCTGCCTAATCCAGTGTGCCGGAGCGAGCGAACGGCCGGGAATGACTCCCGCCGATGATTCACATGGGGGTGGGAAAGATAAGATCCCAAAGTATACATACCAGCTCAAGCCTCACTCTTCTTCAGCACCCCACTACATTCACCCCCAAAACTCGTCATCATGGTAACTACGCACTCATCCTCCAACTCAACTCCAACTAACAACCCATTCACAGACCACCGAAGCCCTCTATCTAGACGACGCCACCCTCACCACGACGACGACAACCCTCACCTCCTACCGCCCCATCTCCGCCCTCAGCGACCCCGAAAAGACCCTGGCCAAGAACATCCCGACGGAGAACCACTATGCCCTCACCACCCGCCAAACCGTCTTCTACCCACAAGGCGGCGGTCAACCCAGCGACACGGGCGTGATCCAGCTCCCGAGCACCCCCAACGCCACCGACAATGATAGCGCTACCAACGCAATAACCTTCGAAGTCCTCCTCGTGCGCAAGACCTCAGACGGCGAGATCCTGCACTTCGGACACTTCACCACCCCGGCATTCCCGCTCTCCCTCGCCTCCAACGCCCTCGCCACGCAGACCATCAACGCCGTCACCCGCAACTACCACTCGCGGCTGCACACGGCGGGCCACATCATCGGGCTCGCGATGCGCCTGCTCGCCCCGGAGCTCGGGGAGCGCAAGAAGGTGAAGGCCAACCACGCGCCGCGCGAGGCGTGCATGGAGTTCGAGGGCCTGCTGTACAACGAGCACCGGCCGCTGATCGAGGGGAAGGTCAACGAGCTGGTACAGCGGGCGCTGCCGGTGCACATCTCCTGGTGGGAGGAGCGGGAGATTGCCGCGAAAGAGCTGAATATGGTCGAGGGGTTGCAGGTGGGGCAAGGGGGGAAGGTGCGGATCGCGGAGATCGCGGACTTGGATGCCAACCCCTGTGGGGGCACGCATGTGGCGCATACCGGGTTGACGGGGTATATTACGATCCGGAAGGTGAGTCGGCAGAAGGGGGTGACGAAGTTGTCGTATGAGGTGCCGGTGGAGGTTTGAGTGGTCGTTATGGATGTGGTTATAGATGTGGACGTAAGAGTTTATATGTTTAGAGGTGTATCACAGAATTCCATGATCGTATATGATCATATACAGCACATAGACTTGTCTTGCTGACACTGCTGGCATCTCCAGAACTACCAGTCATAACCCCTCAAAACTAAAGTTCAATACTTGCGTATATTTCAACATAGATCTCGAACTAGTATCATTAAGAGAAATCCGACATGATGCCAGGAGTTATAAACAAAAACATTGAATCACGTTTTTCGGATGGAAGACATGAATGCAATACAGAATAAAGATTTTCATACTTCTAGTACGCATCATAAGAAAATCTTCATTTATGTATATCAATATTAGTATAAACTGTACAGTTGGTGTTGAATTTATGAATGTGTCCACACAAGTGTAATACTTACTCAAAGTATGTCTATCGCAATTAAACGACACAGTAGTAGATAATCGCGCATAGTATCGTACCTGGCTCGGTTCCTGCAGCAGATGCACCAACATGATGTAATGCATAAGGCTGCGGCGTGGCGTTGCGACTGCATCCCCAATGTTGGGCCAGACCGAGTGCACGTGGGCAGACTATGACCCGTCTGAGGCATAGCTACCACGACTCGACCTGATGCTAAAGAAATGGTCTCTTAGAACTGCAGGCATGATGCAGGGACTGTCGTCTCCAAGCACAAGCATCCGCCCAGCGAATAGCCAAGGCGTCAGAAGGATCAAGGTGTCTTGGCTAGAACGCTGCAAGAATATATGGCTGGCAACAAGCTTTGGCTAAGAAACTTCCAAGATGTTTGTTTCCAGAGATTGCGAAAGTATACGAGGTGACACCACACCGGTGTGACTTCAACCCTAGCAAGAGAATAAACAAATGAGACCTTCACCAGGAACTCGATGAATTATTATCTCAGGTGTGTACCGTGCCTTGTGTCAGCTCTTTTACATCGCTACACCCAGAAAGCAGCAGCAGCAGCAGCAGCAGCAGCAACGACAACGACAACGAAAGATGAGGAGGAAATCAGACGGGAAAGGCTTCATTAACTAACACCCAAACAAGTCTAGTGACAGCATCGGAGATACACCGTGCAAGACCCACTCCCCTCCTCAGTTGACCAATGGTCCAGCAATGCGATAACACGCCTTGGCTTCCCCGCGTGTGATTGGGATCTTCCGTCGGCCGCCGCCGGGGCTGACACCATGTCACTCTTCGTATCTTTTGCGTATCGAGACCTAGCAAAATACCTCGAGGTACTTGGTGCTTATCACCGGTCCGACAGCGGAGGGGAATTTCGCTTCACTTTGGGAAAGTGAGCACGTGGGCAGTCTTCTGTCTCTGTCAGTGGTCGATATGCGCTCTTTCTCCATCGTCGGAGATGAGATCGACCGGCTCAGACGGCCATTGCAGCTCCCCGCAATGAGGAGAGCAATCGCCGGCTGGAGGCTATATAAGGGACTACATCTCGCAACTCAAGCTGCAAAACACAGCAGTAGGCTTCAGATCATCGCCGGATAAAGAAGACCAGCACTTGTCTCTCCATTTACTCACTTCTCTGTCCTTTCTCACAATCCTCCTCATGCCCTCCTCCTCGTCTCTCCTCCGGACCGCCTGTGCCCTAGGTCTGGCTACCGGAGCGTCCGCCTTCTCCTACCCCGCCGCCATCCCCCAGTCCACCCAAGAGAAGCAGTTCTCTCAAGAGTTCCGCGATGGCTACAGCATCCTGAAGCACTACGGCGGCAACGGCCCCTACTCGGAGCGAGAATCCCACGGCATCGCCCGGGACCCGCCCACTGGCTGCGCCGTCGACCAAGTCATCATGGTCAAGCGACACGGCGAGCGATACCCTTCTCCCAGCGCCGGCGCGGGCATCGAGGCCACCCTGGACAAGGTGTACTCGGCCAACATCTCGGAGTGGAAGGGAGATCTCGCCTTCCTGCAGGACTGGGCCTACTACGTGCCCAACGAATGCTACTACAACGCCGAGACGAGCAGCGGGCCGTACGCGGGCCTGCTAGACGCATACACCCACGGCAACGAGTACCGGGCCCGCTACGGCCACCTCTGGGATGGCGAGTCGGTGCAGCCCTTCTGGAGCAGTGGCTACAGCCGCGTCATCAACACCGCCCGCAAGTTCGGCGAGGGATTCTTCGGCTACAACTACTCCACCAACGCCGCCCTCAACATCATCTCCGAGTCCGAGACCCTGGGCGCCGATAGCCTCACCCCCAGCTGCGACGTCGACAACGACGACTCGGTCTGCAATAACCTCGTCTACGCGATGCCGCAGTTCAAGGTGGCAGCTGCGCGACTGAATGCGCAGAACCCGGGCCTGAGCCTCAACGAGACGGATGTCTACCATTTGATGAGTATGTCCTGCTACCACCTTCGTGGAGCATCAGCTGACCACCGCAGCCATGGCATCCTTCGAGCTCAACGCCCGTCCCTACTCCGACTGGATCAATGCCTTTACCCAAGACGAATGGGTCAGTTTCGGGTACCTCGCAGACCTAGACTACTATTACTGCGCTGGGTAGGCCCCCCTGCCGTTGCCGTTCATGAACTAGCCTCAACCCTAACATCAATGCAGACCCGGCGACAAGAACATGGCTGCCGTAGGAGCCGTCTACGTCAACGCCAGTCTGACGCTGCTGAACCAAGGCCCGGAGGAAGCCGGCTCCCTCTTCTTCAACTTGTAAGCCTCTCCTGCGCCCTGCTCCAAGTCAAATGCACTGACCCGACAATAGCGCCCACGACACCAACATCACCCCCATCCTCGCCGCACTAGGCGTGCTCATCCCCGACGCCGACCTCCCCCTCGACCACATCCCCTTCGGCAACCCGTACAGCATCGGCAACATCATACCGATGGGCGGCCACCTGACCATCGAGCGGCTCAGCTGCAACGCGACCGCCGCGACGGAGGAGGACACCTACGTGCGCCTGGTGCTGAACGAGGCCGTCCTCCCGTTCAACGACTGCCAGTCCGGGCCGGGGTACACGTGCTCGCTGGCCAACTTCACCTCGATCCTGAGCGAAAGTCTGCCGGACTACGCGTCGACGTGCCAGGTGCCCAGCTCGTACCCGCAGTACCTGGATTTCTGGTGGAACTACAACACGACCACGGGGTTGAACTACCGGACGACGCCGATCGGGTGTCAGGAGGGGGAGAGTTTGGAGTAGACTATGGATATGGAATAGGTAGTCACTAGCTGTGGTGATACTAGGAGCTAATGAATAAACCCTCCTACCTTTAATCCTACGCTCTACAATTACGCTGCACAGAGCCAATACCATAGATGAGGCATGAATCATTAATATTAAACCAACACACACGTACAAGGTCAAACCCTCCGCTCCGTCTCCGTGACATAGAACGACTTCTGCACCCTGACCATCCTCTCACTGCCCACCACATCCGTGCCCCACTGGCCCCCGCCCACCGCGCCCCCCACCGTATTCTCATACTGGAACCCCATCCCCGTCAGACTCTCCTGACTATCACTCTTCCCTCTCTCCCTGCCCCTCCCAGCTCCCAAATCACCAACCCCACCACCACCACCACCGACGACAGTCGCCATCGCCATCGCCGTCGCCGACCGCTCCACCCCGTGCACATCCGGCCGCCACGCCGCATCCACCAACTCGACCTCGAGATCCTGGTCCTTCTCGGTGCGAGAGCGCGAGAAGCTCGAGAACGGGAAGCTGCCGCGGGACCGGGAGCGGGGCTTGCGGCCGGTGCCGCCGCTGCGGGTGGTGTACGTGTAGGCGTAGGGGGCTTTGGGGGTGGACGAGGCCCCGTGGTCCAGGAACTTGCGGAGCAGGGGCCGCAGAGTCACCAGGCTGCCGGCCGTGATGCCTAGGCCGAGTTCCAGGAAGGACCAGAGGTCGATTTGGTAGGTCGAGTCTTGGGGGTGTTAGCTTTACCTTTAAGCGAGTGAAAGGGGGGCGTAGCGTACATAGAAAGTCCAGGTCCTTGTAACTTGGTAGGAAGGGAATGCGAATAATGAGGGCCAGACATGCACTATACTTGTTAGTGTTTCGTTGCACGATTCAAGAGTGCGAGGGTTCGTAAAGCGGCAAGGGGGAGGCACATACACGCAACCCATGCTCAACGTCGCGCCCAGCGCGATCTTCGTGCGCGGGTTGATCTGCAGCTTGCGCACCAGCAGGATCGGCAGCAGGCCCAACGCCAGGTCGCACGCCGCGCAGATACTGCTGTACACGTAGGCGACGGCCAGCAGCACCGAGGTGTCCAGACACTGGCCCCGGCCGGTGCGCTCCCAGAACTCCGAGACCGGGTGGCATTGCAGCACCATGAAGAACCAGAAGACCAGGCCCACCGTCACCGAGGCGCAGATGGCCGTCCACAGGATGATCCGGTGGGATTGGCGCACCGTCAAGCGGAGCAGGGCGAGCGCGATCGACACCTTGGCCACGCCTGAGGCCCACATGTAGATGAGTTGGCCGAGCCACCACCACTATTTCTGGTCAGTATCCTCCGAGATGGTGGTAAGGAGGGTGGGAAGGGGGCGTACAAGCATGGCGCGGTGCAGGTCGTCCATACTCCGGAAGTCGGTCAATTTGCGACCGATGCCTTCCTTGGCGCCGACGATGGCGCAGACCGTCAGGAAGATGTTCAATACCTTCGGGTTGGTCAGCTTGGCAGCCCGGTAGTGCAAGTGAGCGCCGGGGATGCCTACCGTAGCAATCACCATCAACCCATCGTCCCATCCGAACGCCTTGATCAGTCGCAGTCGCACGTACGAGCGCAGGCACACGGTGATGAACGACACGGACATGCACACGACGGCGACGATCAGGATCTCCTTGCTGCGCCCTTCGACGGGCATCATCTTGGCGGTGGTTCGGACGATCCCTTCACTCTTGCATCAAACTGGGGTGGGGAATTGTGTGGTGGAATGCGTGTCGCCTCGGGTCGGATGGGTTAGCTGCGATACGTGCTGCGGGAACGGCCAAAGACTTTTATATGAAGCAGCGACGTAAAGCACATGTCCGGTCGAGGAGACGCGACTCGCAGAGTGGAGGGGTGAGACGAAGGCGCGCGCTGCAGAACCTTAACTCGAATATAGTTCTCGTAGGGGGGTGGTGTAGGTTCAAGGAGAGTCGCGAATCGAGTCAATGGGTGAGTGTGGTGGCAGTACTACCGAGAGTCGGGTCCTGCCCAATGGCGGTAGTCGAAAAAGCAGTGACTGGATCTGATACACAGGAGAAACCGCGACTGCTGACGGGCGGGCGATGCGGACGGTGCCAGTGTACTTAAATGGCTCTCACGGGGAGGAGTGGCAGGGATGCGCGGTGTTTTGGGCTTCGAGAAGGACCCAGTCTCGCGCTTCGGCTATCAGTCTGTCCCGGCAGAATACGAGCTGGACATGGTTCTCCCGGCCCAGGAAGCAGATTGGCGAGGGGGATCGGCCATGGTGAACTGACTCGAGAGGGGGCAACACTCCACGGTTCGTCGCAGGATCGAAACTACCGGACTAGTGTTCTCTGGGTGAGCACGGGGCTGGAGTGGCGTGGGTAAGTTCCAAGATTCAGGAACCGCGATGGCGATATTGGTTCCTGTGGGGCAGTCGACGGGCGTCGAGCTGATCAGCAGGAGCTCCGGCTCCAGGTGAATGGCAGATCTGCTAAGAATATCCCGAGAGTGTATCAGAAACTGCCGCGACACGAGGTTATTCTGTTGACGGGGTTGGCATTGACAGTGTGTTTCGATTCTCAATCGCAAGGCGGTGGTTGGGAAACCTCTCAATTGCATCTGGCCCAGATCGATCGTGACACTTCCGATCAGAATTGCAGTTAATCTCGAGAGGACATCGCCAAGGCATCTATCTGGCTGATCGAGCTGAGCAGCGGCGATAGCCGGAGCCCCTGCGGCCTCGGAGGCTGGAACCGACCTCCCTAAAGCGGATAGCTGCGGAGTGCCCTAACCCGACCCTTGACTCGCTGACCTCGCCTACCGGCTGTTTCTAATCCCAGTCCAGCATAGACTGGCCTGCAAGCGATGAAGCCGGCCTGGCATCTGGAGCCGAGACTGCTCTCGCTGGATCATTTATCCACCCGCTCCCTGGCAATGGTGGGAAAGACCTACGCAGATACTATATACAGCGACGCACCTGCCACCGTGTGGTCTGGCCAGGGAGATGGGTGAGATTTCATTTCCCAGGTGCAGTGCAAAAGGGCCGGCTCCAACTTTATTTTGTCTTAGGGCGAGTAGGTAGTTCGGGGAATCAAGATGTTGGGACGATCTTGTACTGCGATGGCAAGGCCAGCCACAAAGCCATCGCCTGATCGCCCAGCAACAATAATTCCGGTCGCTACCAGAGTTGAGCGAACCAGCCGACCGGGAGAATGATCCAGGAAGAGCTTCTGTCCTCATGAGAATCAGGACATTGGGACAGAATGGCCTGATGCATGCGTTAATGTTCAAAATAGAATTTTCGATCTCCCCGCAAAATTGGGTTCGTTGTAGGAGAGGGGCCAGATATGTTTCGAGTCTCGCGCAGCTCTCCTCTTAGGATTAAAGGCGATATTTCGGTTTCACCCACTTTACTTTTATCTTCAGTATCTGACTCAAGTCAAACTCATCTCCAATGGCGATGAATGTGCTGGCGGCGGCAGACCGACCAGGGTGAAAATTAACGAGGGGCAATCCCAGTCCGGGTTGTTCCACTTTGAGGCAAAGCCCCGAGAATGAATCGCTAGCGGGTCGCCTGCGGCACGTGGTCGGCTACGCGATGGTAATCAGATCGATTCAACAACAAACTAATAATCAGGAAAAGGGGAGCAGTCTGGGGATCTCTTCATCATCCACCCGAGTCACTTCTGCCTTGGATTGTGGGTGCCATTGCGCCCGAATGAAGACAAGAAGACATCCACCAAATCCCGGTACCGTGGTTCAGTGGGCGAGGTTCCGCTAGTCTGGAACAAAAAAAGAAAAAAGGAAAAGAAGATGGAAGGCGGGAGATAAACAGAGAACGGTGGACGGAAGGGAGGAGAAATAATGGGCCGCGAAGAAAGTGCACCCGCGCGGACTCGAATCGTGAACCTCTGTGTGAGTTGTCGATCTCCGCATTCAATCCACCATATCTAATGCTCTCCAGCCTTTTCTTCTCGTTGAGCACGCAGCGCCTAACTATACCCTGCACGTCTCATCCAGTCTATCTTATTACGTGACTTTGGGTGATAATATGTCGAGATATGCACCTACTGTGGCCTAGATTGTGAGGTTGCTGTATAGCTACGGCACCCAAGCTAGAGGACAATATCACGCTTACCGCACTATCACCATTCACCTTCAGCTGTCTGCGACCGGGAACACATACTGGTCGCCTGGCAGCTGCTTCAATTCCCAAATTTACCCTACGACTGATCGATGAAAGCAAAGTTACACCGATCAAGCATACGATCAATGGACACTACCATGGAACGAATCATCGCGACCGCGGTCAAGACCCGTGACACGAGCCTCGACAGCTCTGTAGGGCACCCGACGGCAGGCCTGCTTTGTCTACCCCGAACATACCTAAGAGTTCCATGGCTATGACTGTCGATCAGGCCGGAATCGCCAGCACAGCCCGCTCAGCCGCAGTGGAGGAGACACAAGGCTGACAGCTTGACATGGCCGGTGACTGCGAACTGCAGGGAGGCTCGTATTGTTGCAAACCAACCGCAGAGATCCTTCAGCCACGCTGCGCCTCGATGAGGGTATTGGACCGCAACCTGGCGGTGCCAGATGCCTTATATGCTCCTCGACTGCCCCTCAACATTTACGCTCTGGCTTCACTTGCAGCAAATATCCCTCCCAACCAGCACTATCCCGGCCACCACAATGACCACCAACATGGCCCCCGCCGCCCTCAACGTCCTCTACTACTTCCAGAAACAAGAGCTGAAGCTCGACTTCAACTCTCCCGACCGTGCGCAAGCCTACCAGAACCTGAACCGAGAAGGTCGCATCTACGCGACGGAACCGACAGCCGTGTACCTGCCGCTCACCCCCTCGATGGCCTACCTGCGCGACAGCCACAACGGACTAGTGATCGGGTTCACCACGGGCGCAGAAGCCAACCGATGGTGTCAGACAGCCGTGCTGGGCCGGCTGCATTGTCCCAGCACCCCGCATGAGGTGCGCATTCGGCGCGCCTGGACCGACGAGGCCCTGGACCAGCAGCTCCAGATGCAGCAGTTTCCGCTCTTCATGCCGGCGCAGGGAGAGGCGCCGCCCTCCCCGCCCCCGTCCGCTCACTCCGCCACCAGCAGTACCAAGCGACAACCGCTGACCCCAGGCTCACCCCCTCACGCACCGCCGACATGGAGCCCCGAGGCACCACCTACTCAGCCGACCAAGGCAAATAGTCAACCAGGGAGCTATCGGGGCACCAGACAGACCATGTCGATGCAGCTTCCGCCGTCGACCGCCGCGCATCTACCCGGGCCGATGTCTTCACAGCTCCTGCCCGCCCCGTTGACCATCGGGACACAGGAGCGCCCACCCGCAGCGCAGGGGATTGAACGACGGCCACGAGCGAGCAGCTTCTACTAAAATCGCTCATCCTGTTTCTGGTCTTGTCTTTCAAGCAAAGCATACTAAGCATGTACCGCATAGCGAGGAGTAACAATGGAATTGTACTTGATTTGTGTTACAATCGTGCTATGCTAGGCAATCATACACTGCATGCCCTAGTCCCGGTCAATTTCTCTCCGGCCAGGCGTTATAGAGCCCCTCCGACACGGAAACATTCCTGAACTGCACCTCGCCCTCGCCGTTGTGGAAGAAGCGGATCTGGGTGGAGTTGTCGTACCACGATCTCGCCCAGGTGCTCAACGCAAAGCGCCCGTTGGCATACACCTCGACAACCGAGTTATCCACGACGACAGTGAGATCCAACGTCTCGACCTGCTCCTGGCCGTTCTCGATCACGTCGAACAACCGCAACTTGCCGGACTCAGTAAAGCTATCCAGCCCGGGGTTCGTGGGCGCTGCCGCACTGGTCTGACTGCGGTCGACGACCAGCGACTCATTGCTGAACTGGTAGTAGACGGCCGTGCGCTCCAGCTCCGACGCCAGGATTTCGAACCCGGACTGGAGCGGGGACGAGCGCGCGTTCGCGGGGAACTCCAGCTGGGCCGTCAGCACGAAGAACTTGGAGCTCGGCGATTGCGCGAACGGCACGACGGCCGCCGTCTGCAGCGTGCGGTCCTCCTCCGCGGTCACCGAGCCGTTGGCCAGCAGGGCCGCCTTGGTCTCCCGGGCGATCGTGATCCCCAGCGTGCGCAGCGTGGCCGTCTGGTTGTCCGACTCCCCCACCACCCACGACACGCCCTCCTCGCGCACCAGCTCGTTGTCGACGACGTTCTCCACCGTCTGCACCTTCAGCTCGCGCGGCAGCAGCAGCGACCCCGTCCACCCCTGCTGGGCCGTGGGGAACCCGTCCGCCTGCTCGTACTGGTCGCCCGTCAACCAGACGAACGAGACATACCGATCCACCTCCACGCCGCTGGTCTTCGACACCGCCGAGCTGGCCGGCAGCACCTTGCCCGCCGCAGCGTAGGCGCTGAACCCCCAGTCCAGAAACCCGGCCATGGAGGGGGAGAACTCGACCTTGGCACCCTCCTGCTCACTGCCCACCCCGACCTCGCCCGCCGCCCACAGCATATCGTGGATACTGGAGACCTGCGGCACGATGGGCAGGCCAGACCCCTCCGTGCCGAGGGTGACGAACACCTCGCCCGTCTGGGGGTCATGGCCCTCCTCGGTGAGGAAGAGCACATTCCCCGTCTCGAAGTTGAACCCCCAGCGCCCGGCCCAGGTGCCCTCATCGCCCCAGCTGGAGTTGGTCGCCTCCTGCCACCACTCCCCGAGGTACTCCCAGTACTGGAACTCGGAAGCGTTCCCGCCGTTCTGGCGGTAGAGGAACTGCGCGGGCCCGACGCCGTGCACCCCGCCAGAGACCGCGACATACCAGGGGGCGTTCTTCTCGGTCCAGCCATCGACGGCCTGCTGCACGGCCGTCTCATTCCGCGCCACCTCCTCATCCAACGACAGCAGCACATCCAACCTGGCACTGCGGAAGACAAACGGATCGCGGAAGGCGGTGACGTCGACGGCGAAGGGGTGGTCGGCGATGACGGGGCCCTGGTCGAGCTTGTCGAAGCGGCGGCCGCCGTCGCGCGCGACGGCCAACGACTGCGTCTCGCTGCCGCGGGTGTAGGGGATGGACCAGTGGATGGGCAGGAAGGAGACGGAGGTGTAGAGTAAGGTGGGGGTGTTGTTGACGCCGACGGGGATGACGGCGCCGTCGAACACGGCGACGGGGTCGTTCTTCCCGCCCGGCTGGATCAGGAAGCTCCCGTTATCGGAGGTGTCGGTGTAGGTGGCCAGGTTGGCCGTGGTGGCGCCCGCGATGCCGTCCCCGTCGTGCAGGAACCCCACGTGGAAGAGGCCGGTGGATGGGTCGGTGTAGTGCGCGCAGGGGTCGCCGATCTGGCCCTCGGCGGGCAGGATGTGCGCGCGCGGCCGCCACACGTAGAAGAGGGTGTTGTTGGGGAGGGTGCTGAGGTTGGTCGGCGGCGGGGCCGTGGTGTCCAGGTGGTATGAGGCTTCTGCTGCTGCTGCGCCGGTGGCGAGCGCCAGGGTGGTAGTGGTGAGCTTCATTGTGATACTCCTGGATTGGATGGCTTCGAGGAGAGTCTTGCCACCGGGGAGATGGGGCGCTTTATATGTCGCTTGCGCGCTTGCTTGCGCTGCTGCTGCTGCTGCTACTTCCGTGATGTCCTGCTCAGAGCAGACCCTTGTGCATCGTCATACGATGAATCTCCATGGATTCTCCGCGATTTCGGCGAAATCCCGCACTTCCAGGGTTGCGGGGTGAAGGGCGCGGAGGATATCGCCGACGTTTTGCCTGGGGTTTCGCCGACGGCGAGCTCTCGGCTGTCGATCTGGGTTGAATGGGGTTAGAGTCTTGGGGGGGAGTTGGAAGAAGGGCAGGTAGACGAGGTGGAAGGTGGATTGGGACTTGATTGTTTTGTTTTCATCGCGTAAGTGCTGGGTGGTGGCCTAACAAGGGGTGGGTTGGGTTGGGATGGGGTTGGGGTTGAGTTGAGGCTGGGAGTTTACGGGCCGAGGAATGTACGGAGTATGTACTGTACTGTACGCTCTCCGGATGCGGAGGCCGATCACTAACTGGCAATACGGAGTTGCTCGCACAGCCCTAACTCGACTCAGCCAGCACACTGAATCATGCTTCATTACGAGGGTGATAATCTACATAGTATCCCCCACGGGTTCGAGAGTGCAGCTCAGTGTCAACCAGTAGCATGGTCTGTCATTGATCTTACGTCTTGGTTCGTAGTCGAACGGGGACCGACCGGGGTTCCTCACTACTATAGCCATGTGGTGTATGCGCGGAGGAATAATTGGTGGTGGGATTGTAGGCCGTCAAGCTTGTAAGTGTTTACCATGTTCCATCTGAGCTCCTTTTTCTGGTTTGTTGGTGTGGCCCCGGCAGCACAGTGTTGCGTAGATATAGGATATTTAAGGGTTGATGCCTCGTGATATATAACCGCCCACCAGACTATCGCGACATCAGTATACCACAATTGATGTTATCGGGTAAACATGGAAGTCGCTCCATGAGAGTCACAGGAAGAGAAACCATACTCTCTTCGACCTTTTGTTCACCTGAAAATGAGGAATTGTTGATATTTACTGCAGGGCCAGGATTCTGCACTCTTTCGCGCGCTGTGGGGCATATTACCGCAAATAAGCCGACGTCTACACGAACGGGGCAATGGCAAATTTGTTGTCCGCTCAGATAGCATTATATCCTGGCAGCATCACGTGCAATGGGGCAATGGCGCATCTGGGAGCGCGTCAGACTGAAGATCTGGAGGTGGCCGGTTCAAGCCCGGCTTGCCCCAACACTTTTTGCTGTTTCTTTTGGCCCTTTTTCTGTCCTTGCCTGGTGGGCCTACATGGTGGTGGGTTTTTAGACAGCATGCACCAATGGCGGACAAGTTCAAGTCCGGAGGAGACGATGGCGAGCGGCGAGAGAATTTAAAGCCTCAGGCTACAAGAAGTCGCCCGGGGCGGAAAGACGGAGTAGGACAGACCCTTTATAGCATACTATATAGACCAAATTTATACACTCAGGCATAGAATATACTCTTACACCCAAACTATATATTAGGATCATCAATTCTCCGAGAGACAATCGAATGAAAATTTTATTAATATGTTATATGATGGACATGTCAGTTGCGAGGCTCGTTACACCCAGTGATAAGAAGATATCTGCCGCAACTGAGTGGTACGCCTTGACATGCGATGAAGCATAGCATTCTCAAGAGATATGTTAGCCAAGAAGGAGAAAATTACATCAATCTTGGGACGATGGCGCATCTGGGAGCGCGTCAGACTGAAGTACCAACTTCGGCCATTAATCTGAAGGTGGCCGGTTCAAGCCCGGCTCGTCCCATCCTCTTTTTTTTTTTTTTTTTTTTTTTTCTCTTCGTCGCTATCGCAGCAGGTCGTGTGGGGCTGATCAATTCCACCCACATGTGGGGCGCCGCAAGAACGAGTATTTGAGTGAGCCCTCAGTCGGATTTCAAGGTTACTAGATTAGAAAGAGCTGTAATGACACAATGGCATCTTTTTTATTGTTATGTATAGATAGTACTAGAGACACATATTCTAAAGAGCGACTAGGGCAGACAGACCTAAGATGATCTGCATGCACGAATGCTAGAGAATGCCAAAAGAGTGACCAGTGCCGAAGCACTCAGAACTTCAGGTTCAAACCCCCGAAGGGGGTGGAACTAGCAAACATCGTAATTCCCCTCGTCAGCCCCATGGGCACCACCAGCAACGATGACACCTGTCCGGCCACCACCATGGCCACCACTGGCATGACCGCTGGCATGACCACCGCCGCCGCCCGCGCCGCCACCACCCTTACGCTTCTCCTTATCCTTGCCCTTGCCCTTGCCCGTCCCATCCTTATCCTTCCGCTTCCGCGCATAGCACGCATCCGCATGGCCCTTGTCCTCCCCATGGTCATCATAGTACCGCACCGCCCCCTTACACCTCAAGTTCTTGTCGACGATCACGAACTCGCACCCGGTCACATCGGCCTTGCCGTCGTAGACGCCGTCGGCCACGAGCGGGAACTGGAACAGTTCGTCGGGCTTCTTGAACAGATCGCTGGCGCGGCGGTCCAGGGGCTTGGGGAACTCGGCGTAGTCGTGCGGGTGCTCCTCCTTGGCCTCGTGGATGCGCTTGGCCTGCTTGACGGCGGCCTTGACGTGGTCACGGGTGAAGACGTGGTTGTGGCAGACGATCTCCACGTTGGTGTCCTTCTCGCGGGGGGTGATGGTGAGATGAGTTAGGTCGGGGAGGGGGTTACCGGTGGTGGTATTAGGGCTGAGGGCCACGGCAGAGTCCTCGGGGAGCGGGGTGGAGGGGCGGGAGGGGAGCGGGGAGCTGCTGGCGCCCATGAGGAGGCCGAGCCCCCCAAGGAAGACGACTTCGGGGTGGAAGTGCATTGTGGTGTTTGGTGTAGGTTGTACGAGTGAAGGTGTAGCTTGGTTGAAGCTTGTTTCGGGTGTACTGATGTTGGTGGGGGGGTTTGATAGCGAGGGAATAAGACTAATAGGTAGGTTGAGAAGGTGGTATTTATAGGCATTCGATGAAGCCGGACTGGAGTAGGTGTATAGATGAAGACTTGATTGACACTTTGTCAGTAGGTGGATGTCCTTGTTGAATCCCAATAGAACAATTGCTTTGTTCGGGACGCCATCATCCCTTTGACAAGTACAAAGGAGAGAGATAGATAATTAATCAACTCATTAGGCTTCCGCTAGCTGGGGCATACAGGTGCATTGTTTGAACTGCAATGCAATACTGAGTTCCGGCGTAAGTCATGACTTTGGGCTGTTAGCCCAACATCCCGAAACAATGACTTGCCCTACGTCAAAGAAGCCCTGTATTCGACAACTAACTCTCAGCAAGAACCACCGCAGATCCTCTGATTGAGTAACGTGCAGTAGTTGCAGTGTTTGATCTTTATGCCACAGATTCGGCAAGCAGAACCGGCCATACCACCTTGGGTCTCAGCAGACCTCGCATCATCGGCAGCGGAAATCCCTTCCGCGCGCGGAATTCTGCCGCCTTCTATCACAAATGGATGAATGACTTTCCGACTAGCTAGTGGTCCATTCTGCACTCAACATAACAGAGATTGATAATCATTCCAACATATCCAAATCCCAAGATCTCCCATAGTACTCTGTCAAGGAGCGATGGTCGGTGGCGTTGTCTCCTTAGTCATCGGGCGGCCCATGACAAATGACCTCTCTGAGTCGATTGGTCATACCTCAACTTTATAGACGTCACCAAGGTGTGCGGTGTAGGTGTATAAGAGCAGAATACTCACCAGAGCAGAAGGGTTTTATCCACTCACATCTTCTAAATAATTAGCGCAACTGTCGCTGTCTATTGACAAGAAAAACAAAGAAATAACCCGTTTGAGTTCAACCTCTGATCATCATGGCCGCTACCAGGGTAGCTCTTGTCGGAGTCGGTTTCCCTAAACCCAGTTCTTACCCCAATGCCCCCTTGAATTTCTTAGATGTTGCGAAACAGCTAACACCTCACGGTGCTTAGGCTTCTGGCAATCTTGGGCCGGCGATTCTATCCGAGCTACTGACGGGCGGTTTTGATGTCACGGTCCTCACCCGGCAGGACAGTGGCAAGGAGTTTGATTCAAGAGTTCATGTTGCGAAGGTTGACTATTCGTCTCTCGAGGCCCTTCAGGCGGCGTTAGCTGGCAATGAGGTGGTGGTAAACACTCTAGGAGTTGGCTCTGTTCCCCGGGATGTTCATCTCCGCCTGGTGGATGCCGCAGTAGCCGCGGGAGTCAAGCGTTACATTCCCTCCGAGTTTGGATCTCACACTACCCACCCGGCAACGGCAAGGCTTCCCGTCTTCGCCGACAAGGTTGCGGTGCAGAAACACCTCCGGCAGAAGGCGTCCCATTCCGCGGATTTCACGTACACGCTGCTGTTCAACGGCCCCTTCCTTGATTGGGGACTGAAAGTGGGCTTCCTGTTGGATCTCGCTGGTCCTGTGGCTACCCTCTACGATAATGGTGAGAGGAGATTCAGTACGACCACCACCAGCGCGGTGGGCCAGGCCGTGGTGGGGATCATCAAGAACCTTCCCGCGACGGCCAACAAGGAGGTGTTCGTCCATCAAGCCGTGGTCTCCCAGAGGGAGTTGCTGGCTCTCTCCGGCAAGCATCTGGAGACCAAGGCTGTCTCGACATCCGACCTGGAACAAGAGGCGTCGGCGGAGCTGGCTAAGCCCAACCCCAACTTCCATGCGGCTGCCGTTGGCTTCTTGCGCCGAGCAATCTTTGGCGAAGGATTTGGAAGCCACTTCAATTCAAGTGATCTTTCCAATGAGACGTTTGGGGTGCGACCGCTGTCGGAGAATGAGCTTCGCGAACTGGTCGCTCAGTGTGCGCGTTAAGCTTTGCCTTTATCCTGCATTCTCCGGGTGCGTGTCTATTAGAATCACGCTGACTAGGCTGCTCGGCTAGGGCGCCGATGATTCATGCCGATAGGCGTCGACTTTTATGCCATAACTCTTTTGCAGGTTGGAAACATGTGTTATGGAATCAATCATACGTAGCTTTAGTAACCAGCTGTGAGCTGGCCTTCCAAGGGCCACGCGGTAATTATTCAATCATATACATATATATTCAGTATTTATTCCTAAATCAGCTAAAATCATGTCAAAGGCATTTGACACCTGTTTGATAAGCGAATGTCTTGTTGTGAAAAAGGAAAGATGCTGAACGAACCAACTCGTCACAACTTAAATTCACTGTATAGGGACAAACAAATCTAGGTAACTAGGTAGCGATCAGAGACGGGATCACTCATATCAATCCGGAACCTTGAAATTCAATAATTCTTCAATCGCCATCTGATCGGTGGGAAGTCAGATACAGTCCGAGGTACAAAAAGCTTGAAAAAATCAGCCACCAGACTAATCCAGGTAAGGAAAGACATTCGCAAAAGATTGGGTCGGACGACATGCGGTGGAGCATGACTCGCTTGCTCATTCGCCTCCGACTCTTCCGAAGCACCGGGAGAGTGGATCACCGCGCTTGTTGTTGAATTCCATATAAAATCCCAACTCAGCCTTGTCATTACATTTGGACGATCTGTATCGAGATTCACGAAGGCATTCACCAAACCCACACAACTCGATCCTGGTCTGATTGTGGCATTTCCTGTCACTACCATATTATCCCAATCGTTCTGGCAGACATCCTACTCACCTTCTCCTCAAACTTTAACACCCAAGACTCGAACCCACTGAGATGGCCAAAGTGATCATCTTCGGCGCAACCGGCGCGGTCGCCTCAGCCACCGCCCGCGCCGCCCACGCCCGGGGCACCAGCGTCGTCCTCGCCGCCCGCGACCCCGCCAAACCCATTCCAGCCCTAACCCCCGAACAAGAGCACCAGGGCAGCTATCAACGCATCCAGGCCGACCTGAGCGACCCCGAATCCATCCGCCTCGCGGTGACCTCCACGAACGCCACCCGGGCATTCGTCTATACCGTCTTCGACGCTCCAGACCACATGCGCGCCAGCCTGGAGGCCATGAAATCCGCCGGGATCGAGCACGTGGTCTACTTGAGCAGCTTCGCTGTGAAGGGCGAGCCGGGCAGTGTCGGGCCGGAGAAACTCATCGCGCATGCCCACGCGCGGGTAGAAATGTCTCTGGCAGATGTGTTTGGAGCTTCGGGGTATGTTGCGGTGCGGCCGAGTTTCTATGCCACTAATATTCGATGGTGGTTGGCTGCTGCGGCTGAGGGGAGGGTGGGGATAGCGTATCCGGAGGCGAAGTTTGACTTGGTGGTTCCGGAGGATATTGGCCGGGTTTGTGGGACACTTCTTGCGCAAGGGAGTGGTATGGTGCAGGGCAATTATGTGAATTTGCTGGGTCAGGAAGAGCTGGCGCTGGGAGATGCTGTTCGATTGCTGAGTCGAGAGACCACCGGGAAAGAGGTGGAGGTTGTCACGGTTGGCGAGGAGGAAGAGATTGAGTGCTTCGTTGCAAAGCTTGGGTTCCCCGAGCCTCTGGCGCGGGCTGTCGTGCAGCAGAATCGGGAGCAGAGCCCTGGTCTCGGTCGTGGGCTTGTCAATTTCGCAACGGACACGGATTTCACGCGGAATGTGTATCGCATCACTGGGAGTCAGTCGACGGGGTTCAGAGAATGGGCTCAGCAGGCGTAAGCGCATAGCTGGTGCTTAGTGGGGATATAGCTAGGCGTTGGCGAAAGTAAACGTCAATGTTGTGGAGACAATGTGAGCGATCGGCTCTGCAATGAAGTACTCTGTACAGTATTGGCCAACTATTGGTAATCGTCACGAAAAGTTTATAGGTAGATAAGTGATAAAGCTGGAGGACAATGTAGACATAACCCATTGGGCCTGATTCGAGGTGTATCATGTGAATCTAGAGGATCTCCTTCTCCAAAGGCCCCGTTCCCCGCGCATACTAGACCCGCCGATCAGCCGAAATAGAAAGTCTAATGGCCGTCGCAACCAGTCCCCATGCGATGACAAAAGAGAATCATCGGCTGGAACACGGGCATTTCCTGCATGACCGCCAGGATCTAGGGATGCTCCCGGTTGAGCGTATATTTCTACAATCTAGGAGCCCGGCAAACACAATCACCAGATCGTGTCCCACAATCCCTAGGGTAGTTGTGGAAAGAAGGCGAATGAGCTCATTGGGACATAACATGATGCTTAATTGTCACAACCCTGTTGTCCGACTCATTTTAAGAGGGCGAAGTCAGAGAGATGGCAAGTCGAGACTAGGATGTAACGGGGCGGCGCTGCGGGAGCGTAGTCGCTTCACGGCCAAGTCTTGACGGCATGGTGCAGGCTGAGCAGTATAGAGTTGCTTTGTCCTAGGCTTAGGATGTTCATGTGGATGTTGCAATCCCCGCCTATTGGACTGTAACAATATCATGTAGCAAATTTGTGAACTTCTTTGAACATTAATTCTTGAACTTCAATTGAATACAGCTAACAAAATAGATAATTTTGGAAACTATCATATGATGGAATGAAAATCCAAACGACTATAAGCAGACCGGTCATGAAATTGTTACACAAAGCATAGCTTGACTGGCTCGAGCTTCCAGACAACATCCCACAGGGCCGTAATCTGGGAACGAAGGAGGTGACTGACATACAGTAGTACAGTGCATGTCGCTCGCTTAAGACTCGGCTGGTTTCCCGCGCAGCTGACATGCCCGTCTTCAAAGTGGAGAGGCCCCGCACGGAGATAGGGTTTAAGGAACGATCTCAGTGTCAGCACTCTGACGGAGCTGACTTGGGATTTTGCCTTCATAATTTCGCCTATTGGATGATATTGCCAATGATATTTGACCCAAGCCCCGCAGGAAAGGATCAGGGAATACAAATACGGTAGTATGGCATAGTGTCAGCACCTGT